GGTGCATCTTGAAGAAACTATATATGTAGTCCTTGGAGGCTACAGCAAGCATGTATTGATGTACATGTGTAGACACATGTACATACAGCCATAATAGCTGGGTAAGCTCTACATTTTGCCATTTTTCACGATTCCTTTGATGAGTATATCGTGAATTAACTAAAGAAAGTGCAAGTTTCTATGAAAACTAGCAGAAGGAAGTCTCGGGTCTAGCAATTATTAACCGCGGTGCGCAGGTGGCTATTTTGTCGAGGCGCAGGGCGTCTGAAGATGCCCAGAGTTACACGAGGGCAAAGGGGATAAACAGCACCGGAGAGCCTCGTTCTGATTAAAAGGTGTCTAAGCCGGGGAAGTAATATAATGCTTGGAGCAATGAACCCACTTCACGGAGCCAGGCCACATCGATTTGCATTATGGGCGAGAAAGGGGAGCGGCAGAGGCCTTCGTTGAGGTTGCACGACAAGAAGACTTTTGGGATTATCCACTTCACCTAGCGCCAATCTGTCGCGCACGTAAATTCAAGACTAACGTTACGACACTAACCAGTTCATCAACGGCACTTGTGCTCAACGTTGAGTGATGGCAATGACCACCGTCGTTAACTTTCCTGGCCGCCTTCCACTACAGCGGAGTCCATATATTGTGTTGAAATACGATATAATTACATCGAATTCATGCATACAACGAGTTAGCTATATGTCAACTAAGGGACGCTCTCAAGGCGAGGAGCTCGTGGGAACTCACAGCAGAGGAGACCACGTTGGAGTTGCCAGCAACACTGGAGAGTCTGCTCGTAGAGGTGCCCAGAGCTGCAGAGAAACCTCAGCTCAGTTTGGGCGTATCCATTGCTCCTGGCATTATAAAAACGAATTTAAAAGTCGTTTAAATGTATAGGGACTGTATGCCTGGGTCTGTAGAGTGTCAGTGGGCAGGCCATAGAGCACAGCGCTAGACTCGACACACTGCAGCCTTCACTCCCGATTCAGCAGGGAGAGAGCTGGATGCGGTGCTCTCAGCAGGTAGTTGAAAGCTTTAAGATAACGATACATGCACCGTTGCCGAGGCTGTTAGCAGTGCAAGGCTCGTTCCGCCGACTTGTGCAGACAGATAGGATGCATGGCGGCACGTGCATTCCATGGAAAATGGAGAAATAGATAGGACATTGAAGATGGAGAACTGTCGGCCATTTTTCCACCTCTAGAAATCCACCGTTAGCTTGCAGGTTTGGCAGGGGACTCAGTTCAGTATGAGCTTCAGATTTTGTGGCGCTTGAAAGGAGTTGCTAGCCGCGTCCCGGACCTAGTTAAGATGAAACAGATGCCCCACAGAGTAGGCGGCCGAGTCATCTCTTTTACGCTGCTAAGATAAACGTCCTCATCTCATTCATTTGGTAAGCCGTTTCGAAGCTAACCTGCCTGGCAGCATAGCCGCTGCGTTGTAGGGGGAGGGTCACGAGAGCTAGACCTGCTCGCAGGTAGAGAGGATTGCCCTGAAATTGACTTTGGCAGCTGGATAGAGGATGCTGGAAATGGTGCAACTTTGAAGCCTTGTCATACTGGGAGCGGGCCAGCCAAAAAGACTACCAAGGATTGTTAAGCAAAAGGCTGCGTCGAATGACGTTCGTTCGCACAGAAGTACGAAACCACACGTGTTGTCCATGAAAATAACAATTGGCACATAGCGTTACAAAGCCGCTTTTGAGGCAGAAGACAAAGCGGACATGCGCAGCGCGTAGAACGTGCAAACATGAGGCCGAAGAGGAACGCTTTGGAGGCAGTGAGGACAAAGAAATGTGCCTAGCTGTGCGCGCAAGGGCACGGAGGGAGGTTGCAACAGGGCGTAACTTCAAAGAAGTGTGTTCAAGCTGGGGCGTATGCCTGCATGTACGTTCGAAGGAAGGAGAGGGCAGCTGAACGCGAAAAAGCATCTCAACCAATGTAACGAGACACCATCTGGTGAGTGGACAAGCTCTGGAGGAATTGAGAAACTGCTGTGCGAGCAGCAGATTGGCGACCGCTCAGTTGTACTGTTTTGTATGAGCAATTATATGAATAGAGACCATTGGTTACAATTGTCAATGGCCACTGAGCACTGGTGCTTGGATTCAACTGGCTCACAAATCATGAGACGGCTTGGTATTTTCAGGGCGGTCGGTTACGAGCCAGTAGTGGAAGATAGTGCGTTTTACCGGCATATATAGTTAAAAGGAAAAGAGAAGATATCCGAAAAGGAAGAAACCGAGAAGCCCTGCTGAGCGGGTATGCGGCAAGCTGGCGCAACAGATTTTGCACAAGACGGCGGGAAGCAGCCGCCCTACCGTGCCATCCCAGCAAGCGGTACAACTTCACTTGCTACTTGCTTCGAAGGCAAAATTTAGAGAAGCCTAGGGCGCAAGGATTCAATGCGCCAAAGTCATTAAGGAAATATACTGCAAAAGTTCAAGCACACAATGGCTACCCGCAGGATAAGTTGTCGACACCTCTTCAGCTCAAAAAGTGTCAACTCTCCTCATTATGCACAATCTTGGTGCAAAATAGCAAACCGACTCCGACAAAGCTAACTCAAAACCTCGTTGTGGCCTCCAAGTACACTGAAGGCAATTAAGATTCCCCAGGGATATCCGTAAACTGTTGCGCGAAAACCTCCACAGCAGCAGCAAGATTTCTCAAAAAGTTTACATGCGTGAAGAGTTGCTGAATCAGGCTGAATGCCACTACACTGCTGTGTTTGGCCCATTGGACAAAAGGCTCAATGCACATTTATATCCCTTAATTGAGAGGGAATCACTGCCGATTTTGAAACTGCATGCCTGAAACTGCAATGCACGTTAACCGTACATGCGAATCCGTGAGCATCTTTCTTCGTTACATTTTCCCTTCATAGAGGTTTTTCAAATGCAGGTTTTTGATCCAGAAACTCGCTTACTAGGGCTTTGCTTTCTTGGTTGTAGGGATTAACCCTGCGGCAAAGCCGGCTCGGCATGCCCAGAGGACTTGAACAATCTTTCTGTGCTCAACTATCCTTTCGAAATACGAATTCCTCTGGTTCGCACGATTCATCGGTTGAAAGTACAGGAGATTTACTCAATGCTACACCAGGGCGTTCTATGAACTAGCAAAAGGCTTTACGGTATCCTAAATACAAATAGGTACAGCGTGAGCCGAGCTAAAGAAGAAAGCAAGCAAGCCTGCCTGGACAAAAGAGTTTGTAATACTCAGAGTTAAGGCCTTTGGGGAAAGGGAAACCAGAGAGGCGATGTCTATGGCGTCAGCGAGGAACTCTTGCAGAGGCTCTTGAGGGGTTCACCGCATCCCCCAGCATCATTGCCAGCGGAAAGTAACCCCAGAAGCACAGCTATAGGACATATGAATCTTTATCCTTAGTAGTGCAATTTCTGTAAAAAGGAGTGGTCGAAATCGCACACGCTCGAGGTGCGTAAGGGTAGCCATACTCCACGCGCATAGGGGTAACTCCTGCAGCGATCCCCGACCTGTGCTCGTTTTGACAGTAGACGCGTTGTCCCATGAACGATACTCACTTCCTCTGAGACCCCACGTAGCAAAATGGTGGCTGGAAAAGTAGACAAATTTTGAGCAAATATACAGAATATTTTCAATGGAATATTATTGGGTCACCTGCCTCCACCATGCGTGAAGGACGTCACAAATGGAGCTTATTCCTGCATATACTTTGAAACCAATTTAAAATTCTTCCAGCCACTGTACTGCGCGATAGGCAGCATCAAGTCGTGTGGCGGCGGTTTCAGCCACACGGTTCACTTGCAGCTTGCAAATCGGAAGAGCTCAGTGAGGCTCCTGTGCCCGTGAGTAATGCTCCGTTACGCAGGCCGTAATAAGGCGAGGAAAGGCCTTAATGCTCCTAATATTTGGGTGACAAAGTCAAGCTAACATAGGTATGAGCTTTCATCGCATGAACGTTTTACATGGCAGACACTAGTACAATCACAAAGGCCTCGAGCCTCCAAGTACGAGATAGCGTCTCGTTGGGCCTCCTATGCGCTAGAGTGTTTCTTTAGTCAAAGTAGAACATATTAAGCAAGGAAATATTTTAGAAAATTGCTTATTATTCCTTCATGCGCAATGAAGGCAGGCTGGCAAACACCAAGCCCAGCCCGTGTATTGCCAGGCAAGACAAGCCCAAGCGGGCCCTACACATGGCAGGATGAGTACAGAGCTTGAAACTACTTTAAAATGCAGTAAATATCCTAAACATGCCAATATTTTGTTTTTATATCCTTCTAATTGTTCGGAGGATCTCAACAAAGAAGGAATAGACGACTAAAGGCACACCAGCACTGTAGTGTAGCTGGGTCGACCAGCACCACCCGTGGCTGGATCTACCTCGCTGAGGCGCCGCAAGCAACTTGACCACTAGGCCCCCCCTCCTCTGCAAAATTCGATGTCTTATCAGATGTTTGTTAAGATTATTTGTTTTGTATGTTAGTTCTTTGCGTAATTGTGCCTTTCCCGCCTGAGATTGCCTCATTTACACCTGGGGGCTCCCCTTCTGGGCAATGTTGGACAGGCTGGACCCTCCCTGTCTCACGTTAACTGTTGTACTTTTGCACATTTTATCTCGACTTTGTTTTGTTTTGTTTAATCGTGTCAAGTCATTTTATATTTTTTAATATTTCCGCTGATCTTTCGCAAAGGCAGGACCCTTCGTGTTGATGTTGCATGCGTGTCTGGCGCTTGCGGGTCTCTTTTATTCCTTTTGACTTGCTACATCAAGCCATTAATATGGTTCCGCATCTTGCCCATTTCTGGTAGCTTCAGAGCATTATCAGCATATCATATGACCCAGGGCAGGGGCGCTTCTACCCTTCTACCAGTTATACGTTTATCGGTGTCTACCTGCATGCAAATAGAGGGGGGCCCCCGACCCCCAGAGCTTTCTCGTTGCCTCCCTAAGACCTCCATATTACACTCTACACGGGCGCACGCGCATTTTGCGTGCCGCGGCAGCTGCTGCTGCTAGCGATGAGGTCTCCTGCAGCTCGCCAAAGGCATCAGCGGGAACCTGCTGTTCCCCCAGCGCCCTCCTCCCTTCCGCCGTGCCGTATCCTGCAGCGCGTAAACGCTGAAAATGCCTCTGCGTCGCCGCATCTACAGCCTTCCGCCCCGTTGGCTCCTCTTAAAGATGGCCACAGGTCAGGTGGACACTTCCCATCACTGCAGCGACTGTGCGACTGTTGTGTCTCTCCGAAGAGACGACGGGGCCCCAGGCGATCACGCCATAACGTAGGCTTAACAGTAGTAGCAGCAACCCCGGAGCATGCATTGGAACACAGTGGCCGAAGGCTGTCTTTCAGCGCCAGGTCCAGCAGCTGCAACAGCACTGCAAAGACAAGCCGCCGTGAAAGCTCCGCAGTACAGAGGAGTGCAGAAACAGCAGCGGTTGCAGCAGAGTCCGCTGCATCGGCGCAGCGTCGTGGAGCTGTGGGCACGTGCTACAGCGGCGGGTATGAAGCGGAGGCACTTTTGTGTACTTGCGCCCGCGACAGGAGCGAAGCTGTTGCAGGCACTGCCTCTCTGTGTTCCACAGCAGCCAGACTAGGACCGCGAAATGCTGCGACAGCATATGCTGCAATTTCATCACGCCCGACAGTAACAGTCGCGACAGCTGTCTGCGCCGTAGAAAATAATTCTACAGCCCAGGTTCTGACCGGTCGAACACCGCGCTCCGAGGTCTTTCAACCCCAGCTGCCGGAGACGCAGTCTCAACAGCGTCAGCAGGGAGACCCTTGTCCAGGGTTATTTCCGCATACCAGGGGTGGCCAATGTAAAGGAGAAATCTATTACAAGGCAGCAACGGTAGCTTCAGCAGCAGCAGCTGGTGCTGCTGCTGCTGCTTGCAACTGTGGTCAACAGAAGGCAGCGAAGGCAGCTGCAATGCGGCTGCCTGGGTCTCCCTTGACTCTCTTGCCCATGCCGGGGACGGTGAAGGCAGCATTTGAAAAACCGTCGGCAGAAAAATCAAGGGCAGGACCAACCACGTCTGAACTTGCAGCCGATAAAGGAGCTTGCGGCTGCGAGCCTCTTAATGGAAGCTCGGCTGTAAAGGCCATGGGCCCTTCCGTAAACTGTTACGTGAAAACCACAGCAGCAGCAGCAAAGGCGTCTCACGAAGCTTACATGCGTGAAGAGCTGCTGCATCAGGCTGAAAGCCGTTACACTGCTGTGTTTGTCCCCGTGGACAGAAGGCTCATGGAGCAAGTGAATGATGAGTTTATTCGCTCTGATATCAGTAGATACCCCGTTAAGAACACACCTTGTGGTCAGTCCAAAGCTGCAAGGTTACGCCATGTTCTTCATACGAAATACTGTGATGTCTTTATGTACCATGGCGCAATTTAGGCTCCCTTTCGGTCAGGTTGCTTTTTTTGATTGTGTGAGCATGTTTACATATCGCCTACTTCATGTTGCTGTCTACTCTCGTATCTTCCGGTGTTCGTGCAAGCTTTCGTGAGTGTCTCGACTCTGAGTGCGCGTATGCGTTGTTGAGAGTCTCCCGTGCAGTTTAGTGGTTATTCGTTGGTAAGCTTGCAGTTACATCTACTGAGTGGGTGGCTTTACGCATGTTTGCTGGTGGGTGAAAACCTGTGGCGAAGTGCGCCTGCGTGTGCGCTGTGCTTTGTTTGCCTGGTTTGTGCTTCTCAAGGCATTGTGTTCTACTCACCTCGGTACTCTGATGACCGCTTCACTTATCGTCACGTTCTCCTTTCCGCAGGGGTCAAAAGTGCAGCAGAGGAAATCGCAAGTGCGACAAAGAGTGAGGAAACGAAGCCACGCAATATGGAGAGCCGATAGAAGCACATAGGGAGAGGCGGACGGACTGCGAGTGGCAAATATTTTAGAATTAACAGACGGAGGTAGATTAAGAGATAATCAGAGAGAAGCAGGCGCATGACACTATGCTCAAATTTACTTTAGAAGGAGAATGTAGTCGCAGGAGAACTTGAAATCACTGTAGGCCCGACGATGGCGGTGGGGATATCTGCATTTTAAACATAGACTTCTGGGCCGTAATTGAGCAGCAAGAATGCGTATCTAGCTCTACTTGCATAAATATTTCAGCTCTTCACGCATGCATGCCTCTAGAGTTCCATCTACATAGATCACCGTAGGTAGAAATTCTAGACTACTAATCTCTACAAACAAAGATTAAAATTTTAAGTAAAGTGAAAGATGCGCTAGCTAAAGAACACTGGGCATGTTGCTCATCGTTTTCATTCACTGTAGACGTCTCTTCGTTCGTCGTCGTTATGTGGCTTATTATTTTACCTGTTTTCCGTCGTTCACTAAACAGCTGTTTTCTTCACGATCCCTTGGTGCACTCTTTCATGCGTTTGTTGCTCCGAAGGTGCATTTTTGACAGAAGGCCAATTCATCTATCAACTGGGCATCCACCTATCGCCCGGATGGGAACACTTTATGATTTTCAAGGGTAATATGAAGGATTTGTAATCAAATGCACAAAGCAGAGTGTAATGTCATGTGTTCGATGTAAATACTTTTTCCAGAGGGTGTTAGGTGAACGGTTTTTCTCGGTTATCGTCAGCTGCCTGCAACAAGCTTACCAGTATGTTTGCCTTGTCCTTTTGTGGCAGTCATGTGCATCAAGCTTCACTGCTGGCATCTGCCCTGTTTCTGTCCTGCCCTTGACTATTATCCCTGATGTTTCTTGTTGACTTCCTCTGTTGCTGTCAAGCGCTGTGTCGTCTCTTCAGGGGAGATGCGCGAGCTTATTTTGAGGAGACCACAACAACAGGAGGATTCTACAAATCTTCAAAATCAGTTGCTTAGCGATGAGGTGTGTCAATTTTAACGCTCCTGCGGCTATCGAAGTCGCTGCTGCTGCAGTTTAGATTCTTTTGTTATTTGTGCAGATTAACTGTGACTGCTCATCTGCCCTTCAGGTTTCTGAAGAGAGTGATGACTCCGAACCAGACGAGTCCTCAACAGCAAAAGCTTCAGGGGCTCCATCACAGGCTCTTACTCATCAAGACTTGGGGAGACTGCTGCAGCAAATCGCAGAGATTGCAACGTCTCAGCAAGCGAGGCGGCAAAAGCATCTACTACAGCAGCAGCAGCTTGCAATTGCAAGGGCTGTTGAGAAAGCAAACAGGCTGCTACTGTTAATGGTGCAACTACAGCGAGCCCCAAAGCAAATCCCGCAAAGGACATTCGATAGGATGAAGTGTCTCTTGGCAGGTTGTTTTTTTGGTTCTTTGCCCCCTATTTCTGGAGAAAATCAGGAGCAATCAGCAGCAAGGAGGTGCGTGCTGCAAAGAGGAAGTATAGGGAGGCTGAGGAAGCTCCTAGTGCTGCTGCTGCAATGTGTTGCTGCGATCACGCAGCAGCAGCAGACCTCAGATGCAACTGAGATGCTTTTGCTACAGCACAAACTACTGATGCAGCACAAAATCCTCCAGCAACAAAAAGTCCTTCGATATGCCCTGAGAGGGCTGGAAAGGGAACAGCAAAATACCCCAGCCTCGTGCCTTCCAGAAAACCCAGAGGAGTTGGAAGAGAGGCAGCCGGACCAGCTGGAAGGCCAGCAAAAAGCACAGCAGCAACCTCAGCCTGACGGTAATCAGGAAGTCCGCAGGCTGGAAGCCCTTCCTTATAAAAAAAGCAGCTATCGGGGTACATCAGCTATGCGGCTTCGAAAGCGTCGAGGGCCGTCTTTGGGTGAGCTCGTTGACCCTTTTCGCTGGAGCACATTCATCACTGCTCAAGTGCCAGCAAATCATACTTTATTACTAGCCATTAATACGTTGCGATTAATATTTGTTCAGCATCTTCGCCTCCAGTTGCCACCCCGCAGATAGACACTCCCGAATACCAACAAAAACGGTGGCCTAGAGCAGCACCAGCGGCAGCTGACGTTGCTGCTTGTAATGATACTGCGGCTCCCCATGCTCCTGCTGCTTTGCCAAGTGGGATCTCAGCTGCACGGAAGGTTGCCAACCCGAGTACTACTGCCACAGCTGCCGAAGGCACCTACAGCCCTTCTTCACAGCGCAAACAGAAGAGGAGGCGGTACCCCTTGAGGCATTAGACGCAAATGCAAGGTAAACAGGGGAATTCCAGACTACAGGGCATTGCGGTACCACTGAATGCTCCAGAGGACATGTTTTATCTTGGAACACAGTTTAGTTCTGTCCTACAATTGTCTTTTCATGCAGTCCTTAGGGCTTTTTGCACCGTTGCTAGCCGTGCATCAGGCACTGCTAACCGTGCAGTTGGTGCTGCTACTATCTTGTAGTATCTCGGAGCCACTCAACGCTCTCACGAAGGTCCAATATACAGTCAGATGAAGAGCTACAGAAGGGGAGTCTCTTTTAATGGGGAGACTAGCGAAAGGCAATTTTTTCCGCTCCCCCTAGACAGGCTTCGCCTGGGCGGCAACTGAAACTTTCGCATCTCCCTTCTGCGGCGCCCGCCAGAAATTTATCACACTGTAAAGCGGAACACAGACGCAAGGCTTCGCAACACCGATAGCCTTCGTTACACGGCTCTCAAGGCGACATCGGAGTTGACTAGTGGAGCAATAGTAAGCAAATAGCGTGGTCTTGTCACCTGAAACAAGCAGGTGCTGCAGCAATAAGGCTCAGCAGCTCGCCTAGTGGTGCGCAGCCCGAGGTAGAACGCGCTGTCCTTCAGTCACGAGGAAGACACTCATCCAAATGTAGAGGCTGTGGCTATGGGTAACGTTGCTGAGAACTATCTTAATGAGTCTTGCAGTATTCGCGCGTCGTACCCGACACTAGTAGTTTAGCCTCAGGTCAGTGAAACATGGGGCTGCTTCATGTAGCTTCCTCAAGTGGATATGCGAACGGGGATGATGCTCGGGGCTCTACGTCCTGCCGCTATACGGAAGATGCCCGAACCTTTCAGACTGCGACTCGTGAAGGACGTAGAAACTTGCTTGCCTGCGAGGGATAGGAGGAGGGATAAGAAATGATGAAAGTGCGAGGTCCCATAGAGCTCAGGACACGCCACCCCTGGATTCACAACAACTGAATACAATGTCTAGAAAAGGCATCCCTTCCAGGTACCGCACCTAACGGATCATAAAACAGCTATTAAGATCGTAAAAGGGTCCAGGCAATAAACGAAGCTTGGAACGTCCCGGCGTGGTTCAGCATTCAGCCTTTCCACTGCGCTGCAAGGAATTTCACTTCGAAGCACCTGCTACTAAAGGTACAGTGGAACCCCAAAGGGGCACTGTCTGAGCGGCATAGCGCGTTGAGACAGCTTTCATGGAGAGAGCTTTCATCTGCAGCGAGGACACCTCTGGCCTTCTGGCCTCGGTCGTTCCTCCTGGTTTGTCTGTTTCCCCGCCGTCAGTGTTACTCTTCCAGTGCATTATGCAAATTATAATTGTCCCTTTGACCCTGTCACATTTTCATAGGTTTCCTTCACACGCGTATGAGGGCCGCGATCTATCGATAAATCGATACAGCCAAAAACAAAAAGAAAGCAAAATGATGTGAATGCGCGTACATTTAATACATTTAATTTTCTGGAGGCCACTTCTAGTTAAACAAAAAAAGCATCAGGGGATTCTGCCTGCCACACCGTTGTTGTAGAAACTCAGCGCAAATGGTTAAGTATATCACTTTCTGCCTGCATAAGCCATTCCTTCGGTTACACATAGATTGTGGGTCACAAAAAGTTATTCGCCGTTGTGGTACCCCAAAGACCTCATCAGCGTCAGCTGGGTACTAAATCCGTGCCCTACGCCCCCCTCGCCGTTGTGGTAGACAGAATTACACAGAGGAGATGCTCCCATAAAAGTTTGCGACGCTTTACAACTGCGCCACAATGACACCAGCCCTCCACACTGAGAAAAGCAACTTTATCGAAATGAAAGAAGCCAAGTCTTACTAGCTAGTGATTCAGCGAGTTAGCTGTGCTGTTTTCGTCGCTCATTCCTCCATAGACATGCGAATCCCGATACTCCAAGCAAAGACCACGATGCTAAACTAATGCAGCCGTATCTGCTTCATCAGACCGGAAAGCGCCCTTGGGCGCTCAGGGCATGACTTCAGAATTTCCCAGTGATAGCTCCGTCCTGGCTACTCTGCGAGCATGTGAGGCCCACTACGGGTAGGCTACGCGCCCCTTGCTGCTACTGTTATATCTATATTCCTCCTCGGTCCTTTTCCAAAAGCGCCGTCGTGCTGCGAGCTTCCAGACTCCTCTTTTCAAACGTAGGAGGGCTACAAACTCTCTTGCATGCAGATTTGGGCGAACCAGGCAAGTGTACATTTGAAGTCTCTGGGAGTACACGCAAAAGGCAAGAAAACTGGTCCCTCGTGATGACCATGTCTGTCCTCATATATTCCACTAAGCATACAGTTTAATTGTCCTCATATATTCCACTAAGCATACAGTTTAATTGCAGGTCAAGCTGCCTGATCGCCACCTAAATGAAACTACAAGGAGCTGCTGCGTCAACGAACGCTGGCGCAGTCTGGACCTCTGAAAGTGATGCCTCTCAAAATTAACTGCCACTGAGAGTTCCGGCTAAGTACTGGTGGCGCGCTGCACAGTGTCACCGAGCGGCGGCAGTAGTTATTGAAAAAGAACGGGGAGCTCATTGTTTCCGGGTTTCTTATACTGCTAGTGGGTTTGAGTGGAAGCGCAATGCAAATTCGGCGGCGGCGAAACAATCGTTGAAGACAGCGCCCTGTTGGCAGCTTGGAAGAAAGCCGCTTCCTTGGGGATACTGCCACAGACCTGTATTCGCCGTACAAACGAAGTACAGGCCAGCCAGAAAAAGACATTTTTTGTGTGTGTTTATTCAAGTTAAGATTTGCAGTGTGCGCTGTACTACAGGTACACGAAGGGAGGGTACACGTAGAACTCTTGTCTGGTGAGGGGCTTGACCGTCGGTTGGCGAGCAGCTGCGTGTGGGAAGTAACACTTACAAATTCAGTCAAAAAAGCGGCTATTCGCGAAACGCCACAGTCAAATTCAGAAGCACCGTACAAACATAGGGTGAAACTATCACTACCTGATGGCGAATGCATCACAACGTCACAACAACGGTGTTCCCACGTAGTTGTCGGTGGTGTCGACTCAAGGATCCCCTCCAATTCTTACCTTAGATCCAAAAAATTAATGAAAAGGAAAGAACGAAACATCAAATACGAGTGCATAAGGACAAGTGCTCACTGCAACTCAGTAGAAACAACCCAACTTGGGCCCCTCAACCACCCAAGCCAGCCACTTTTGGAGATGAGCATGACCGCTCATCTCCAAGAGTGGCTGGCTTGGGCGGTCAACAGCTTGTAGGTCCTGTAATTATTAAGTTATGAAGCTCGTTTTGTCCTTGAAGTAAGTACAGATGTGCGATTGGCCCTCTAGCCCATTCCCATGTGATCACATCTCTTAGGCCTCCCTTTCTGTTTCTGCAGTTCACATTGGGACAAAGAAGCGAACGCCAAAAAGTAAAGAACTTGGCTGTAATGAATATGCAGAAGTCGAGGTTTTGGGCCTAGGTGCTCTTGTCTATGGCTGGTGCCTATCATCCTTTACGTCGTAATGCCACCATGATGACTGTACTCCATATCTGGCTGCGGAGGAGACATGGGGAGCATTGGCTTCCCGTCTTTATCGGTCTGCTGCTACTCACTGCACTACCGTCCAGCGCACTTTCATTTGTTGAGGCATGCAGACATCTCAGTGCGCCCGCGTTTCTCGGTCATGGTGTTGGATTTCACCACCTTACTGGGGGCCAGGCCTCCACAATTGCCGTCAGCTCCATTCCCTCCTTCTTCGGGCGATTCAGGAGGGTGCAAGCAGCATGTGAACAGCAGCCTCAGAAAGAGCAGGAACGACGACCAAAGGTTGATCTCTATCGGCTACTTGGGGTTCCACACAACGCTCCTGCAGATGCAATTGCCTCTCGAGCAAAGCAATTGGAAGGACAGCTGAAGAGGCATGCAGCTACAACTACAGTAGATCCGCTTCTGTTGTCGCTTTTTAATGAAGTCGTTGCTACACTGAAGGCCCCCGGTTTGCGTAGTGCTTACGATGAAAACGGCATTCTCCCGGAGTCCCTCAGTGCCCTGCTCCAGCAGCTGCTGCCTGCCTTATCCTATCCGCACAACTCAAATAGCACGGAGCAAGGAGGAACAGCAAAAGAGTATATTGAAAATAGAGAACCAGTACGCAGAAGGAGAGGCCCCGCGGAGTTATTTTCCTCGTTACTGGGTCGGGATTTCTTCGGCAGGAGCAGCCCGTTTGCTGCTGCTGCTGCAGCGGGACGCCGGCAGACGGAGGGGCCACCGCAGGGCCTAGACGTTGAGGCTCACGTCACCCTCAGTTTTTTAGACGCGGCGTTAAATGGAGCTTGCTCTTTGCCTGTCATAGTACGTCGGCAAGAGGCATGCACAGCTTGTGCAGGACCAAACAACCGAAGAACGTCAACGTGTCCAGTCTGTGAAGGCCAAGGGATGCAAACGGAAGTGAGATGAGATGATATTGTTGTTTTTCGGACCTTGATGGCATCTGCCTCCAGCCAAATGTCTATTCTGTATTGCGTAGGCAATGGCGAGCCAGCACCTCTGAGTCTACGCTTCGTGTGTAGGGTCCACGATCAGGAGCTTAGCCTCCATAATATCTGCAACCAGTACAGTAGTGCTGCAGCTCATTAAATGTGAGCTGTTCATAAGCAGGTTTGAGAATGCCTTGACTGTGTGTTTGTTTCCATCTGAAGGGCAGCGGGTGTGGTGCGTCTATGCTTTTCTACGAACCGAGCAAATAAAGGGAAAAGTAGTTGTGACAATATATTTCTCTATAGTTATATGTGCGTATTTGCGTGCATACGTGCTGAAATGCGAGCTTGCGCGTTGAGAAAAGCACATCCACATGCTAAAGTGAAGCCAGGACTGTGCCATTGGCTAGCTGTGTCTAGTTTGTGTTTACGTGAGTTGTTGAGTATACACAGCGCGCGTGATGATATTGAAAAGGCGAAGGGAACTGTGACAGAATGCCGGCTCCACAAATTTCTTACTGCTGCCTTGCTGGTGCCAGAGCGATCAGCAAGCTTCTTATTGTTGCCTTTGCTGGTGCTAGAGTCCTGAGCCCCTCACCTGGATTTGTGCAACGTCCTTCTTTTTCCAGACGAGGCGCTCTTCTTTCGGTTTCGTGACGACATCCGTCACCTGCTCGGCGTGCAATGCGACGGGAATTTCTCAGGGCCCTGTGTGCAAGTCTTGTGAGGGAGAGGGGCTAATAAGCAAGGACGTTCATTTAAAGGTAATGGTGCAGGCTGCTGCTGATTATGGCAAAAATGGTGATAATTTGTATTGTTAGGGTTCTTGCGGCGTTCGGACTGCTCTAGTTACGAACAATGCTGCTGATGCTGCCGCCAATCCTGGCGTCGGCGTTGCCTCTGTGGGTTGTATTGCCGTTTTTTGTGGTTGTAATTCTGTTTTAGTTGCTCTCTCCGCTGTCAATTTTTGCAACTGATGTTAATGGCACCTGCCGAAGCTGCTGCTTGTTATGCGCGTCTCGCTGCTCCTAGCCATTTTGCAACTCCTACTTTGGGGGATTTTGGCGTTATTCTGGACTTGGCAGCGCTGCTACTGGTTGGCATTATTTTGCTTTTGCTGGTTGTGCCTTCGGTAGTGTGGATCTGTTGCTGCTGGTGTTTATATTTCCGTTGGTTCAGTCTATGCTTGATGTTTTGATTGCGATGCCCAAATTCCTCGCGAGTTTAGGAGCAGCGTGTGCTTTGATTCGTTCATTGCCAGTGCCATTATTTCCGTATCAGGAATCAGCCTGTGGCATATTTACAGGTCAACATTCCTGCTGGGGTCTTGGAGGGATCGTTATTGCGCGTTGAAGGCGAAGGAAGTGAAGGCAGAAATGGGGAAGCCCGAGGTGATCTGTAAGTTTGCCCAGGAACGAAAGCATACCAACGTGCCGTAGTGATCATTTATGTGCGCGCTGCAGATAGGTGCATCTACCAGATGGCGGCATATTGAATAAGTGCAACCTCTGTTGCTTCTAAAATGAGTGAAGATTTGTGTCAGCGCGACACAGTTGTAGGGTCGTGCGGGCACTAGCCCGGTCTGACGGCAATGCTCTTTCACAATGACTTGCGAGTTGCCGCGGTTGCGATTGCTCCATTAGGTATATATCGATAGGTGTTGAGAGCCACGATCGGTTGACTAGGGAAGGTGCAGATGTGTGCAGCGAGGAATCGATATCCCTAGAAGATGCAGTGTATGGATGCAACATCGTAAGCCTAACCGATTACTGATGCTATTCTTATTCCGTGTCTAGCTTTTCCCACAAGTGCAGCCTGTCCTTGGGTGCTGCCCCAGTTTTAATCGTAATTTTTGTATTTGCTACAATAGACCGTGCATACGGTGGACGGCGATGTGGAACTAAAGATACCAGCCCTTTCTCGCTCTGGCCGGAAGTTTCTCATTAAAGGAAGAGGTGCCAAAAAGATTGATGACCCTTCTGGGGCAAGAGGGGATCATGTTGTCACTTTGAGAGTAAGCCTGCTTGTAGTCAGACTGATTATAGGCACAGAACAATTGCACCTCGGAGAAGAAACATGAGGTTGTGCAAGCCTCCTTTTTTGTGGAGCCTTCTTCGGACTTCTTCCGCTTGTACCCGGCGTTGTGCCTTCTGTTGCCTAAAGCTTCGACTTTTACCGTAGCAGTCTTTTTGTGGCGTTTCGTTGCTGTCTCTATGTATGCCGTCTCGTGTATAACTTTTTCCTTAGCGCTAATTTACTTTTGCCGTGCCCTGTTCGCCGAGGTATGCGCACTACAGTGTTGTGCCTTTACCAGCAATATATTCGGAATTGTAATCGTCCAATGTTGTGCAGGTGGCTCTGCCAGAGACAGCAACGGCCAAAGATCGCGAGCTGCTAAGACGTCTACGAGAAGCAGAAGTTGTAGGAGAATAATAGCGAGGTCACGTGCAGCATCAAAAGTACAGCACGATTGGTGCAGAGGACAGGGGAACGATGGAGACAGGATACGCAGGCCTTCGTTATTAAATGTCGTGCAGCTTGGTGTACGGCTTCTCTGTAGCTTTTTAAGAATAGGCGAGTGCGCCTCATACAACGTATATATAGGAAACGCGGCGTATTAAGATCGTTTCTATCCTCCTATTGTTTTTGAGAGGCATACACTAATGCGACTAGGAGGATGGACGAACGTAACGTGCCATCCCAGTGGGACAAGGAAAGAAGTTTACATTCATTGCAGATTTCCTCATAAATGCAACGCACGAATCCTGGTACTTTCGCTAGCGTCGCAGCAACATTGGCAACCACAGCAACAAAGCAACGGCTGTATTGACAGGAACTTGAGAATTGATGAATTCACCTGAACCAGCAGCATCGGCACTGCAAAGCAGATATCAGGGGTCAACCATATCTCACAAGCTCTAATGTTTCACAAAGCGCTCGGGCCTCGGGAGCTCCCTACATTTGCCGTCAACTATGCTGCCTGCAGCCAGCAAGCAGATCCACTTACAACAGCTGAAAAGGAGAACTATTGAGGTGCGTTCGCCTGCAAAGCACTGTATCTAGTGTTGCAGGCAGCAACGGGTCTTGCCATTCGTGGACAAACGTGCTCAATATTTGAAATGAAGGAATTCGCTTAGTAATCGCGACGAATACAAGAGAGCTCGATGCAGCTGGATTTCTTAAAGCCTAGAGCCTATAACTCAGACTGCGCGAGCATGAGGCCGCGGCACGGTAGTCTTAGCTCTTCCTTGCGCGCTTACAATGGATGGGCTGCGGATGGCGGTTCGGAAGACAGCAACCATTCCTTAATGAGAACGCCAGTAGGGCAGTTTAATTTGGAGGTGTAAAAACGCATGGCGCTACCGCAACACAGGTACATTCTACTTGTGGTTCCTTGTAAGCTACGAAGAACTTGAAAAGAGAGCGTGATGAAATGCGTGGCACTGATACGGAAATAAGCCATGCATACATGCCTTGCTCCGTGAGCAATTTTAGGTGCCGTTCATTGTCTGTTGCGTTTGGACAGGAGTTTGTACCGCATCTAGTATGCCAGTGAGACCGTCTCGAAACTGGGAAATAGACATTGCCACCTGGTGACGCCGTTAAAGCTACTGCCAGTACTAGCGGAAAAAGGTTACGGACTTCTTTGTGCTCCTATGGGCTCTTATGTTCCGCATTTTTGCTGGATTAGAAAGGCTTTGACCAGATACCAGACGCGACAATGCACTGAACAGGCACATAAACTGTTGAGCCCTGTCATATGAGTGCAAGATGCTGTTTAAGAAGAAATATAGTGCAAGGAGTTCGGACTTTTCTGGAGCCACCACCCCTCAACGGAGTCAGGCAGATGCGAAGACACGGATTCTGATGCAGCCAGCTGAACAGAACCAGCTGCAGACGCTTTCGCGTTTGTTCTTGCCTTGTCGCTTCGTCAAGAAGAGCGGAAACGGACAGGCGCCACAACGGACACAAACAAATGAACATTTGGCACATACTTAGGCACGCAGCGCTGTAGCTTATCAACAAATCCATGTTAACAGGCGAGATTAAAAGAGAATTCCCACAACTGCATCATGCAGACGAACCACAGGCATGCACTCTTGGTGCTGTGGACACCGTAAGTGTAAACTTAAGAGTCGCTAGAGATAAGCCCAGATAGGCCCTGCCCACACTGAAGTTCCGGACACCTTCAAATCTGCACAGGCCGTTCCAGCGAGGCGACCCTCTAGCACTTGGCTGGCAGCATCAATCACCTTGTCGTCAAATCCTCTCGCCAAACGCGAAGTGTAAACGACAGCCAGCTATGGAAGGCATAATGGGCACAATCTTTGCTGCAGAGAATTGCTTCGTCGATTGAATCTCCGGTGCAGCCCACAAGCGAACGAGGTGGAGTTGTGGTGACCTGTCTGAGCTGGAATGAAAAGGCAAATTTCACGGGGAGGTGGCCAAGCAGCCGCCTGCGCTAGCATAGCTTATCATGGCCGCCTCCTAACATTATCAGCCAAACATAATAGAAAGTACCCTACAGAGCGACTACAGGCCGCGATGTACTTTCCGCCAGTCGCGCCGCAAGAGATTCGAGCGTACATGCAAGCACGTCAACACCCTGACAAACATCAAGGAAGGCATCAGAAAAGGGAAGTCAGTAAGACCATCTGTTCCACTTGTAAGCACGGGATGTAAGCACACACAGCTTGCCAGGCAGTGGTGCCTGACGCCACTGCTTTTACTCCCGCTCACCTTTTCGACTTGCCGAATTCCCAGTCGTTCGTTTGGTAGGTGGGCATTGTCGCTGGCCTGCCCAAATGGCAACTGACAAACTGCAACTTCATCTGAGCCCTGGCATTGGCCCAGGGGCCCAGGAAGCCTCCGAAAGGCGTCGGCAAGAAACGGAATTGCTGGCATGGAGCCCCCTTCTCGTACGTAGAGTGGCTCAACACCCCAAACCTGTTAAAACAAAAATGATCGTGGCGTTTAAGCCATGAGTTCCTCGTGATTGCTGATAAACAGGATACACGGTGGCTGCGGAAAGATACGGCGCAGCCGCAGCCAGTGCGACACTCATATGTGCTCAGCTAACCGTTGCCTTGTTGCTCACCTCTTTGATCGCTGCATGTGCTGCCCCGTATAATGCACGCGTTCTGGGCGCATTCAAATCTGCCCGCCAGGAACGTCCTTGGCGGAGGCACTGAACTGCCAGTTTGCTCGCCGAAGATGCTTTTTTGAATGACTCTTGAAGGTAGTCACGAATTAGAGTGAATATTTCCTTAGGCCCCTGAGATGGCAAAGAATGAAGTTTTTTAGCTGTCATCCTTCGTAAAAACACTATTTGGGGAACATTCACTGAATGCGGTCCCAACTGTGACAGCGGGAGTGTTAAAAGTACCTGCTGGGGCACAAGACGCAAACTGATTTCTGCGCAAACAGTTGAAGGGATGACGCGCATAGCTCCTCCAGCATGGGGGCATTTCCCCTTTAAAGACGCATCTATGCCCAGCAAAGACATTGACGGTTCCAGCCAACTGAAAAATAACAACGAGCGTCTTATACCCAATGATACAACAAGGTTTTGGTCGACGCATAATGCTAGGATACATCTGCCACATGCGGGTCCCTACAACAGCACGTAGCGGCTCAGCCCTCTCTCACAACAATTAGCGCGAGCAAGATGAGTCGCAGTCTCAGATTGGCTTCAGTGATCAGGTGTCACCTTTTCCGAAGAAGCTCGTTGGGGTCGCTAGTTCCGCCGGCAGATGCACGCTGTACCCACCCAGTCTTCACGGAATCGGCCGCAGCCTTGACGCGCTGTAACTGAAAGAGCAGCAGTGCAAAGTGACACTGCTCGGTTCAATCCATTTAGCCACTGCAGTTCCTTTGATAACCAGCAGGCTCTTGACTTTCACCCTTTCCTGTAAAATTTGGCGAGCGTACAACTACAAATGCGTGCTTTCTCGCTGCTTACCTCTGCGTAATCGGGGGGCTGAACAGCGTCATAGAAACGGGGGATTTTCACGCGTCCAGTTGAAGGGTCATACATCTGGCTCAATAATTGCACCAAGCTCTGTATCAGCATACAATGCAGTATCTCTTTTTTTGTGGGAACAAGCAAATCCAAGTAAATAAAAGCACGTGGACACAGAACACTTGTGTGGGGCCCTGGCACTGGCGCCAAAACATACCTGCATTGGCTCCTCCACGGCACCCCCATGCACTCCTGAGTGATAGCCGCTGTCTTCGGCGCCACCAGTGGCCTCAACTCGAATGTCCAGCACCCCACGCATGCCGTAGCTACCATGAAAATATCAGCACATACAGCCCGTTCTACATATGTGAAGCTGTCCATGCCTATACATCCAGTCAGCAGATGACATGTGTGAACTCCGCTTACACAAGGCATGGAGTTACGTCATCAGCCCAATAGCTGTTGTTGCAGATGAGGAATCGCGCTCCGTGAAGCCAGCTTGCCTTTTGCGCCACAGCATCAGCCAAGCCTGAGTGCACCCGATGCCACAAGAAAACATGCTTATAGGACTACGAGAAAGCGCTGTAACAAGTGAGCTAGAAGCTTTCAAGCAAGTGGCCCATGGCTTGCCAGCCATGGGCCACTTGCTTGAAAGCTTTGCCGCACGCCTTTCCATGCCGCAATTTCCAAAGCATGCAGCAGATCAAAATCGATGCGTCCAGTAGCTAACAGCAGCTATTCTAACGTAGAGTCTTTAGCAGCTGCCTGTGAAGAAGCACGTAGTCTTCCAATTGCCGAGGTAGGGATGACTTACCAACGCTACCATTCTCCTCATCTCCCTCGCATATCCACACGAAGTTGAAGGGAATTGCAGGGTCGCTCTTAACTGGCGCAGGATTCTGCGTAGCTGAAGCTTCGCCGGAATCCAGGTGCTGAGAACACCGTTCGTATAATGCCTGACTTGCCTTGTATTTCCTCCTCCATTCAGATATAAAGTGCTTCACGGCCAGCAAGGAGCAGATAATGGGACCCTTATTGTCTGTAACTCCTCTTCCGTATATATACCCATCTTTGCAATGGATCTTCCACGGATTCGTGTGCCATCCTGTGCCGTGCCACCCCGGAGAGTTGCTTCGAGCTCCCTGATGCTTTGTCATCTGAGTAACCGAATTAGAGCTACTCCGGGCTCCTTGTTGGTTGGACGGCGGAACAGCTGTCCGCGTGCGTGTCCTTGGAGAAGCAGAAACAGTCACAGGCGAGGCTGAGCCTTCCGACACATCCGAAGAAGCCGGAACAGAAGAAGGAGAGGTACCGCCTGCTGATACAACGTCATAGTGAGAATAGAATACGATTGTGGGGTGGTGCGGATTTGTTCCAAGACGGCCAAATACTACAGGATGCGGCTGTCCCTCCCACTGGTCGCCGTGAAACTCTGACAAGACCGCTGACCGCTGAGGCCACACAATATCCACCGTTGCTCCAAGCGCTTGCTCAAGAAGCTGTGCTACAAATTTGGCGGCGCCTATACAACCAGTAACGTGTCGGGGACATCGTGAGGCGGAAACGGATTTGTATGCGACAAATTGAGCAAGCAAAGGTAAAAAGTCTCTTCGGCGGGGCTCTAGCCCTGTCTTCATCGTCAAGGATGGCAAGGATGGCATCGACGCTCCAGGAGTAATGACCATGCCACTAAGCCGGTTGGCACATAATAGACGCTGCGCGTTCATCGGAATGGCTCTCGTTCCCTCTCGCGACCCATCAGCAGCCCCGTTTTCTGCATTTGCAGGACTTAAGGCGTTCTGGAGGGCTTCGCCCGCTGTGTCTTTCTTGTCCGCGCTACCCTCAGTAGGGCCGTTAGTCTCGGTCACAGCGAAATCACATGCTGAGGACCCTTCACAGCTCGTTGGTTTTACGTGGTCCTCTCCTACAGATCCCTCATCGCCTAAATCTCTCTCGTTGATATTCCAGACGCCTAACTTTCCGTCGCCACGGCCTGCCCATAATTGTAGGCCGCCTGGCCCTTTGCCGCAACTAGCAAATGCGGCCCCTAAAGACCTTTCGGAGCTCCCACTAATGTGCTCAGAGAAAAAAGAGGCATCTGACACTAGCAAAAGACCCGTGAAAGACACGCCTCTTTCTTGGCCTTCATGAGAGCATGGCCCAAAGGCGTGGTGCGCTGCAGTGCACGAAAAGTGCCCGCTTTCTGCAAATGATGGGGACGGGTTCAGACTGAGTTGGAAGGCCACAACCATCAAGTCGAGCTGCCAGACAAATAGCTCACCGTTTGCAGACCCGCTGATTAGGATATTGCGCGATGCGTCAGCAGCGAGGGCCAACACCTCGGAAGTGTGGGCATTTAAAGTCTGTATGCAAACGAACTGCTCCAGAGCCCAGACGCGGATACTGCTATCTCGGCTGCCACTAAACAAAAGACCCTGAAGTGAGTGACCAACCTCGTCAGAATCTCTAGTGCACTCAGCTTGAGGACTTGTTATGTGGAGACGCTCTCCAGAGTTGCGCAGCTCACGACAGAGCGACTCTACGGGAGCTTCAGTGTACGCCACACATAGGACCCCGCCATGGTGTCCAGAGAGTTCACCGACTAAGCTTCCATTCTCTCCCCACAAGAGCAGCCGACCATCGCCTCCACCGCTGCAGATGACTCCTTTGCCACAGCTAGTGAGACATTCCACGAAACCATTGTGTCCACTTTCATCCAGCCAGGGACCCACTAAGGACTGATGAGAGTGCTGACGCTGAACGCCGGATTGTTCAAAGGGCAAAAAGCGCATCTCTATCTTTAGTCCCCCATCCTTTCTGGACGGCTGTGCCACAATCTTGAGACTTGAAGTGCTAGTCACGACCCTGTACGTGCCTGGAGAAGCGGAGGCGGCAGCTCCTTCAGGTAGGGGAACCTCAAGTTCATGGGGAGCTTCGAAACAGTATACTGTGCCGGTAGGAGGATAGAGGCAGCCAGGTCTCCTGGAGCGGCAGCATTTCGTGGACCAGAAAGTCGTCGCTGCATGCGATGCATGCAGCGTTACACAGCGAAGACTCCGGGCAAAGCCAGAAAGGAGACGTCCAAATGCCTCATACTTTGCCAGACCCGAAGAAAGACAAGGTGAACACGATGCACTTCCGCCTTGTTGAATTGGTGATCGGCCAGCTTGTTGCCTGCTGCCAGCGCACTTTTGACCTCCGGTGAAGAGAGAGCCTAGGGACTCCCTTTCTTGTTCACCTGAAAACTGAACCTTCACTTGGCCAGATGCGAGAGTTTTCAGCTCAAAATCTCGAGACACACGGAGGGAAAGAGACTGCTGCTGAGCTGGCTGGAAGGACACAGCGTTCGCCAGGACAGACACCATAACTTGCGTGTGGCGAAAGTAGCGCAGTAAGTCACTGAGAAACACTGCACCTATCTTGGCAGACTGAAACCCAATGAAAAGGAGTATGTTGCATCCTCTGTCCTCAATGAATGGACTTGGTTGAACTTTATGCAGATCTGCTGTACAATGCAAGGCAGCAACTGGGGAAGACGGCGTATATTCGTTAGAGACTCCTCCACTCGAATCTAGCCGCATCGCTGCACGTATGCCTTGCATGCAAGCATCACATGCACTCACAGTGCAGATGCGTCTGGACGGATCATGCCGGCTTCCTGTCGTATGGGCACCATGGCCCGAGCAGTCACTCACTAACAAGGAAAGAACGTCTCCTTGATGAGGAAGGAATGTGAGACGCACGGCAAGCAAATCGTCAGCGGCGATTGATATTCTAGGTCCGTCGAGAAGAACCTGTATGCCGCTAAGTAAGCGGGGCTCACGACCTCCGAAAACAAGGGGAGAAAGATCCCAGACAGCCAAAGAGGTATCGCTGCCCCCGGTCACCAAGAATATTTCTGGAACGACAGAGCCACAATCTTTGCATGCAATGTTCTGGCTCGCGCTCAGAGAACCGTTCCTCAGAGTATTTGCATGGACAGCCATAGCCAGTACACCACCTTCATGAGCTTGAAAAGAGATAGGTGCGACAGACGCGCTCGTAGCGTCGTAAACAACAACTTCGCCACTCTGCATACCCGCAAAAACGAACGTCTTTGCCACTACAGGGAGACATGGTGATGCCGACGCCGCAGAAGATAGATCCCTCTCAGTCTCTTCATTACTATTTGTTACATATATCATGATTGTTTCGAGACATAAGATGGCACAAGAGCCTGCAATCAGTTCGTAGCACTGCTGGCTAGCTCCAAGTGTCTCTGAATTAAGGTCTGCATGGTATAGATTCGTCGACGGAATGCCCGACGACATTGTGGATGAGCCACACGTGCTATGAGATTGGCCGTCTTCTACTGCAGCGACAGCCTGCCTCTGCACTTGGGCTGCTTGAATTTGCTTCTCCAACCTTTCCAGCTTAATTTTCAAAGCTTGCCAGGCCTTGTCCCTTTCTTCCTTATCGCATGGCTCAATTCCTGCCGCTACTTCACGCACAATATTTTCCATAGATCGTAGCATCATCACCGCTAACTCGTCAGACACTCCAGGAGTCCCCATAGAACCACCAGAAGAAGCTATTTCTAGCAACGATTCGAAATCCCCTTCAATCCTATTTGCCAAAGACTCCGCTAGACCCTTGCGCAGAGTGATCTGCTTGTCGAAAGGGGGCAAGCTCGTCTCCTGGGTTGATCCTAGAAAAACAGAACTGCGGCGCCGCCGAAGCGGTGAAGGCAGGTACCCAACACTCGCAATCGGATAAAGTAACAGATCTATTGCAGGCGTTATCAGAATCATTGTGTTGCGTGGAACTGGCATCCAATCTTCCGGGTTAGAAGTCAAAGGCTCGCTTGTCACTATACATATGTCGGTCCTGAAGAGCAAAAACCCCACATGCCAATTTCCTAGGGCAAAAACCATCTAACACTGACTCTACCTGCCAACCGTCAGTTCCGCTTGTGAAGTTGGGGAAGAAAGGGATAATTGCTTAGAACAGTGGGAGTGCTGCAACTGTTAACGCTCCAAAGGCGAAAAGTGGGATATCTGAGCAGCCAAATGCTCTGGAGCGCCCTTCGCAAAGCCACCTTTTGTCTCTGTGGGTCATGCGAAACTCGCCGCAAGTTTCTTCTTGTTGTTGCCACGCCGTTCCAGTAGCAAAATAGAGGCTCGCTGGCATCGCCGGGCTAGTTTCCCCAGTCATGTCCGGTACAGTGGATGACTTTCCTGACTCTGCAGCCATAGAAATTATTACAGCAAGCACACTTATTGTTGAACTGCTTACTGCAGTAAGCGCATCTTAGCTGTGCTTCCCAGCATACCGTGTTGCCAGTCGAAAAACGCTCATGCCATTACCGCGTTGAACAAGCATTGCTCGAATACCGACCATGATGTATCCCACAGCCCCCTGCCGACGTATCGACTCAAGACTGCGAGCTCGTAGCCAATCTTAGGCACTGTGTCACTCTGCGTTGACCAACAGGTGGACTGCCTCACCGTAGGCTACTTCTTGAGCATTTGTGACAAATCTTGTGGCAACAATGCTTTCACCATCCGATACGACAATATTTATTAGTGTGATTTCTTCGATCTTTTCCTTGTCAAGCAGCCAGCAGATCGTAGCAATCATCTGCTCCACAGCTTCTTTCATCGCAGAATGTGTTGAACGTTCTGTGGGGCTGTTCGGAAGTAGGGCTAAAAAAACCGCGAACAGGCAGGCGCTGTCGATACAACTATTAGTTATCGCAAAGGAAAACATCGGATCGGGTAGAAGGCTTAGCAAATCGCTGCAAAGGTAGAAATTCGACACAATTTGTGCGTTTTTCAACCAATGCAGAGGGCGCAACAGCCACCTAGAAGTCCACAGCTCTGCATCGTGAACGCTGAAACTCTATTCACACTAGACCCGTCAACTCTTCAGAGAACTCTGGACGTTTCTTGGCGAAACTGCGAGTGGAATGTTTATCTGACCAAGCTCAAAGAGATACCTTACCGGCGAATTTTGTTAAAGCCGCCGACGCTCCCATTATGCATGAACATGAAACGGCCACAACGAAAAGGGTGGCAGCACAGTTCTGTGCTGACGCTGCCATTAGCCACTGCCCAAGGTGGAAGCCCACCGGCACAACCTGTGCATTGTGACCAGCCTAGAGTGCTGCTCGCTGCTCTCACATGGGCGAAGAACAAACGACTTGAGATCTGCGAAAATAAGAGCCCAGAAAGGCACTGTTCAGAAATTATTCGCTAAAGGCAGCGCTACGATGGCTGCAGGCGAAGTGGATGCGTGAGCTCTATGCGCCTTGCACCTGAGGCTGAAACTGGCTTTATACGAGGAGCAAAACATCTCGTTGAGAGTCGAGTAACCGGTGCATATATCTACATGTGCGTGGTTGAAGTAAAGGTTGACAATTTTATCGTTAACTGCATCGTAAAAGCACCCTAACCCAGCACCCACACCTTTTCAGCGAGATTGTATAGATTACGGTCTGCCCATGCCGGCTTTAGGGACGTAAACACGCAGGCCCCTCCATCGTCTTCGAACGAAGAATCGTTGGTGACGGCGGCCTCACTATCAGGCACTGTTTTCCCATTCGTACTGTTTCGATTACTGTTACATGCCCGCAAAAGGCTCAAGCTTGTGCCAGGTATGGTGCTGTTGGAGCCCTTAGTGATATACCAGCCCACCCCGAATCCATCCCCATTTAACGAGGCTTTCTGGTAAGCGTTCCGAATATCATCTTGCGGTAGCCGCTCCTGTTGAAGACGCAGAATCGTAACCAGACAGTTTCTTCATTTGGGATGAAGCAGGAAAAGATGAGGCTGCCAGAGCTTGACGGATTCGGTGTCACGGGATCTTCACAAAGTAATATTGACGTATGCCAATCCATCAGCGTTCGTATTTTGCAGGCGACTGGGTTCGCCCCACTTGACACACCTGACAATTAAAAGACTGCTGAATGATACTGCGTCGTGGCCTCGTGAGAATATCTGCGAGGAGAATCGGCTCTCCACGGGTAATTATGGCTGTGAGGCGGCACATTGGCACGTTGTGCTGCGAAGCCTGGGTCCGGTGGCCGGGCAAGTGAACAACTGCCACGGCGTTAGTCCATGGCTTCTCCGCTAAGAAGAAGGCTCATAAAAAAAAGAGAAGACCCTGATTCAATGCGACACTGAACTGGGATCCCGTGACTCAGCGCTACTAGATGTTACACAAACATGGTGCTCAAGGGCCCCCTGGGCAGATTATTGCGGTTCATGAGCTGCTCGAGGGTCCTGGCACTAGAAATGCAGTTGTCGTAAAGATAAGCCCCATATTTACACAATATGACGTCGAATTTCAATCTAATCACATCAAGGCCGTTTGTGTCTCGTGGGCCGTGTAACGGGGCCGTTGGCGCATTTTCCTTAACCTCCCGGTCTGCCCCAATAAACAACCAAATCTAGCAAATCAGGGACATCAGAGCTTAGGCGAGAAAAAAAATGAATTATTAATTTAATAGCGAGACATTAACTTGGCCGGCGCCGCTGCGTTTGGTGCCAACGGTACTCAAAGTGATGACGTTGGAAGTGGAGCACAGCGAAGCTGCGGCAGCTTACAGACTTCCACTGTATGTGTTGAATCTCTCCAAAAACTTTAAAATTTGGGACTAGTAGAGCAATACCAATGAAGGGGCAGTGGCGGACGGTGTAGTGACGTGCTGCGCGCACTATATCCAGCGGGTGAGGCGTGTACTGCATATGGAGAGGATTTAAATGTTTCATTTGAGCATGGGTAATGGGCCAATTCAGCAATAGTCAAAAAGCTTTCAAATATATTCAAAAGGTACCGAGAAGATAATTGACGAGGGCTGAGAATTACGTCCTTCAAACACCTCCGAAACTGAGCTCAAAGGCCAGAAGACAACGGGCGTGTCACCCAATCCAACGCATGCCTGTAATCCTCTGCAGCTGCATTAGAGCTTAAGCCAGCAAGGGCCTCAACGTGCAGCATCATGATTTGCGCTTGGTTGTGCTGGGAAAGATCCCCCTCGGCTCTCCCACTTTTCAACGGCTGTCCTTGGCATTTCTTTTTGTCTTAAAGTGATCCTCTAATGCTCTCCGCAGAAGCTGCCGCCTCTCCAGCAGAATTGCAGAAACAAAAAAGACAAAGCCTTCCATCTACTTGGTGTGCTTCTCACGTACGCTCCAGCTAACACTTCCTTAGCACTTTCTAACTAGCCGCAGAGCCCAAATCAATTAAAATCTCTGCCGGCGCCACCTGAATCAGGAAGCTGGAACTTCGTTGTTTAGGATTCCAAGAAATTGATGCCTCTACCATGGCAAGTAACAGCTTCGCGACAGCTCCAACTTGTGCAGAAGAATTCGTGCCTCTTCCTGTGCAGGCATTCTGTGAAGAAGTGCGTAGCATTTGTGTGTGAGTGGCTTTTCGCGTACTTCGGCAGTAATGAAAGGTAAAAGGCGGTCTGGTGCATTACCGAGTTGCAAATCTGAACAGAAATGTGTTCTCTCACGCGGGCCAAGAGAGCTGCGCAAGTTGTCTGCGCTGTTTCTTGGTGACCTTCGCATGAAATAAATTCCAGCTGCTTGTTATACAAGCAGCTGGAATGATATGATACAAAGCCGTAGTCGTTTAGTTGTAAAACAACGCTAAGACAACAAACGGAAACTACCGTTCGGCCACAAGAGTCCCTGCAGCCTTGCGCAGAGCCCAGTCAAAGCGGCTTGCCCTTTTGCTCCTCAGCACCGATTAACAGGTTAAGTTACCTCATCAGACGAACGCTTGCACAGCGGGTACTTCATTTCCTAAAGCGCAGATCCGTAAAGAAGTGGTTAGGAAAACGCAGTATCTTTCTGGACATTACCATTGTTCGGTGTCGAAAAGGTGGCAGAGTCATCGTCTGTCTCGGAGATCAAGTGCAGCTCTCATAGGGCTGGCAGCTGCATATATCTGCTGCCTCTTCGCATTCCTGCGGAAAAGGGGCCACAAGCATAAATGCACCTTCAGTGAGGCACCAAAAAGGTTGCCGTTTCTAAGGCGTGGATAGGCATGTGAAAATAAAAGCTGCATCAATAAGCAAATTGCTTCGTCTTTCCTTGACGTCTCTGGAGATGTTCTCATCTTACTTGAGTAACTGAGGCAAGCAACTCTGACCCCTTTGTTGGCGCAGAAAAAACAGCTTCGGCGTTTTCAATTCGCGACGCGTACATCGATGCTGAGATCCCACCCATTGGACGGACAGTGCGAGTTCCACATGAGTAAAACGAAGGCTCCTTTGAGCTCCAGCTTTAATTGAAAAGCCAGACCCCCTAAAGGATAGCCTTACCAAGGGTGCAGAGTACTACTTTAATGGCCGCCATTAGAAGTAGCTCCAGTAATCCAAATAAGGCAACGCGCAACGACACCCCGTAAAAGATGAAAAGCGCATATACTGCGTAAAAGCCAGATGCACACATTTTCACCAGAAAAGAGTGGGAAGGCGAAGCATACTGTCATACTGCGCCAGCCATAATGTGGCGAAAACACTTCAGTTGTGACTACGAGGCTGTACGCACTGTCGCTAGCCTACCGAACTCTTACCGATCAGATGCTTTGGCATCGTTGCAGCAACAGCCATGCACAAGAGCTGCTCCTGCCTAGCATCTCCCGCTAATAAAAACCAAAAGCCAACGAGAATGCAAAACAGGTCGGCAAAGGGAGGCAAGGAAATCGCCACAATCAGTAGGCCCCAGGTGGTGCCGGCGAAACTCTGCTCCAGACCAACCCACTTTGCTATAGCGGTCCCAGCCGGAGAAAGACTCACACCAGAGCTTTCCATTGGAGGTGAGACGACTAGCAGGTCTGAAACACCGTTATTAGAAGATTCGCCGCGAAACCAAAGCGAGTTTAGCGGAACAATCCAAGCTCGACTGTTTGCTGTCGTTGGGGCGGCCGCCGGAAAGGGTTGCGGCCGGTAAGCTACAAATGAGGTACCGGTCAGTCCAAATAAATAGAAACCTGTTGCCACCATGTGAATTATGTGGACTGCCAAAGCTGCAGTTAAGACGTAAGCTCTGAGAAAACAGCGAATTCGACGAAACAAACAGAAGGAAAGATTGCCCCCACAAAGCATTTCCAGAGGCAGCGACCTTAATGCCAAAGTTTGTGGAATGCGTGTACAGCTCAATATCTATTTCTTTGTATATATACATGTGTCTGCGAGTACAGCTGAAAGGCTTGCTCTTAACAGATATGCGCGCGAGCGAACGAGAAGCGAGCAGCATTTACCCGTGACTCTACTTTTGCATGGCTTCAGTTGTACAGCAGCACAGCTGTATGCCGGCATGAGTATGCAAAAACGCTGTGAGAAAGACCTGCCTTTCCATCTCCGTTGGGGAGCTTCGAAAGCGCAGACGCCTCCACGTGAGCTGCAAAAGGGCCAAAGGGTGAAGGTCACGTCTTCGTGATGCTTGGGTTCCTCGATCCCCCGAAGAGCACTCTTCGAAACTACTTGCCTCTGGGCTCACTGCGCCAGTTGTTGTGATGCGTGACACCAATCCCGAGTCGTGGATGATAGCTGCATCTGCGTCGTCTTTCCCTGTCCCCAGTTTGGCAAGTGCACTTTTTTGAAGAGCCTGGACTGCATCCCTGAGGTGCTGCGCGTCTGCACCTGCAGATCGCCTAGCTGCATCAGCAAGGCACATGACTGGGCATGCTATAGCCTCACCAGCAGGTTCTGTGGTGCCTCCAAGTGCATCTCCGTGAGGCGACAATGAACTTGTCGGCTGAGACTCCGGAGACGACAGATCGCTAGAAGAGCCAGTAACTTTCCGACCTCCTCTGAATCCGCTCGGCATGTGATGCCCTGGGGAGAATAAAGATGGCCTGTCAGAATACTTCTGTGGAACGCCAAGGCACCCAGGGGCTCCAGAGCAATACGAGCCAGGAAATGCTGGGCCGTAGCCCCAGAGTGGGACGGACTTCTGAAGCGACGTCGCAGCAGCAGCGGTGTATGGAGCAAGAGGCTGGTTACTTGGAGACAATCGGCGGGGGTCCAGTGGAGAGGTTACCGTCATAAAAGAAGCTGGTGGGAAGGAGGGTACGACAACCGCTTCAATATCTTCATTCCTGGAAACCCCTCTCTCCCTCGTGTTTGAAGCTGGCTGTGACCCCTCCCCATCGGTCTCAGGGGCTTCTTCCTTGATAACTAAGGCAAGAACTGCCTCAGTTTCAACAAATTCTGGGTTCTCCTTTTCTCTCTGCTTGTAGTTGGTATTCACAGCCTGCTGCCGTGGTCCTGGCAGGCAGGTATCTCGTGAAGTTGTAAAGAATCCCCTCTCCCCAACAACAAGGCTCTCTGACCTCCCTTCAGCAGTATTGGACACCGACGAACATCTCCCTGATGCCTTGAACTCAGGGATTGTTTCGCTGGTATCTTGAACGCAGTTGTTACGACGCAAGCTATCAAGCAGGGCAGACGGAGATGAAGCAGCTCGCAATAAAAAGGAGCCAGTGCCGAGAGACCCTTGAAGCATTGGGGCTCCTGAGTCTCCGTACCTTCCCGTTCCTCTCTCGAAGTACTGTACTCCAGAGCACCTAATTCTGTCATCGGGTGGTAGTGGGGGCCTCTTCGCGTAGCGCTTCGGTGCGGCCGCGTGCATCTTCCTGTCTTCCTCAGGAGAGCCGGTTGCTCGCTTGACTCCATCGTTCCTATTGACAAAGCCATGGCTTGCAAGCACAACCACAGCAGCCCCGATGCCGTGAGGCTTCAATAGCCTGTCACTCATGAGACGAATTCCTTCAGACAAGCGAGCCACAGTTCGAAGGGCAAACAGGGGCCCGCCCATCAGCAATCCAAAGGCTCTACCGCCTGACCCTTCAGGAATTTGCGGCAGTTGCAGTTTCCCACATCTTGTGCATCTTGAAAACGGATGTTGTTTCCAGGGGCTTCCTGAGAGTCCTCTTGCTAATGGCGGAAGCCTAGGAGGTCTCATCCATTTCCCAGTATTCTGATCGTGTCCATCGTGTTGCTGCCTTCCCCCTGGTTCTATAGAATGAAGACTATAACTGGTTCCTGCGAAGGCTCTGAGAGAACTCAACTCCTCCGCTGTAAGCTCCTTGACCTTCGAACTGAAAAAATTAGCTATGCAAGCCCATACTGAGGGAGACGCTAACTCTTCCAAGGCCCCCTGCAGCGGATCCGCAGGGCTGGCGGTTCCATTAGACTCGCGTGGTGCCTGAGGAGTCCTGGGGGTTCTAGGCCTTCGGAGGCCCCGGGAGAGGCCAAAAGGCACAACTCGTCCATCACCTTGAGTGAGTAGAATCATTGGTAGCTGAGGTGAGCAACGGTAATCTAAGATGTTTCTGTCCAGATCCAAGACATCAACAAAACCCAGAGTGCAGTCTGGGTCACAGCCGAACTTCAGGGCGAAGGACAGCTCTCTAGCTCGTATGCTTCGCCAAAAAGAAAGGGAGCCCGCGGCCTTGGCATCCAAGTTTTTGTAGGCATGCCTCTCTGAGCAGAGAATAGGAAAGAGAGAGACCAAGGACGGTTTTCGCCTCCACATGGAAGTGCGAAAGAGACCGCCTTCCGCCGTCCCTGAGGGTACCCCAGAAAGAGCACTGCACAGAGCTATCATTTTATCTGCTCTGCGGGCCCTCGCTGCACGTAGAAGCAACGATGCAAGGGCCGGATAGAGAAAACAGAGCGCTCCATAGAGTCTGACAAAGGAACGGCTGAAGCCGCAAACCGAGTTCACTTCTGTTGCAAATGCAGCGAACCGGTGAGGGTTTATATGCGGGTCCAGGAACGGAGGAGGCTGCCCGTCCAAGCCCCATGGAGAGTCCGGAGAGTTACGCCCATGCAGATAAATACGCAAAACGTGGAAAGGCAAGTCTTCTGATGTGAGGTGGCGCACCGCCAAGTGCATCAAACGCTTCTCTTTTGACCCTCCTAGGTACCCTAGCGAGCTCGATGGCGACGGCTGCAGCCCTCCAAAACTACAAGATGCCGCTGCGCACTCCTGCAGGCCTCCCGAAGTGGCATAAAAAGCAGGAAAACCAAACAGCGTCCTGTAGGTCCACCCCTGCTGTCCCCGTCTACGGGCGATCTCTCGACAGAGGGCAGCCAGGCCCAATAACACGAAGCATATAGCCCCTACAGGAACCAGAACTGCACAGCAAAGCAGCTGCTCGACTATAAAGAGGAAAGGCGGGAGGCACCGTGGGTTTATCGACGCATCTGGGAGGCCAGCTGCGCAGGCAAAGGGGCAGTGCGGACCCCCAACTGCTTCCCGCGTGTATATTGCATCGTCTGATGGCTTGTTCGTGCAGCTTAGACAGGCCTCGCCTCCCTCAATCGAGTAAAAGCCAACAGGGCACGGGCTGCAACGCCAACCTGCATAGCCAGGAGGACAGCCCAGAGGGCTTCGTACCTTTCCTGGAGACCCACGGTGCCCTAGAGGCAAATGCAGCGTGCCACAAGCTGGGGACGGGTCACTTTCCCCTCCTCCTACTCTCAGCGACCCACTAAACCCCCCAGCGTATTCTGAAGGTCTCAGCCATGGAACAAAGGCACTGAATCTTGAGTAGACTTCCAGCCCTTTTCCCGTTTCCTCGTACTCCTTCCCCGCTTGGCTGCTTATTTCAATACTGCCTTTCGCACGGGAAGACTGACTTTTGACAAGATCTTTCCGTATCCAGTAGAACGACGTCGGATTCCACAGAAAGTCTATGGCGCCGCCGCCTCCTCCACCTCCCGTGCACCGGCCACCGTGGCCGCCTTTAGCGGATATGGTACCATGCCCCAAAAGTGCTCCTGTTTCAATGACGACTGAACCCCCAGCTCCTCCTCCTTGCCCAAGCTGCGCTGGATCAGCAAAAATACCCGACAACTGGCAAGGTACGCTGCTTAAAGAGTGGATCCCTTCAGCAGCGACTTGGAACTCCCTTGGACCCGAGTTGCCCCTCTTCCCCTGACTAAAAAACGAGCTCACTTCGGGAAACAGGTGGCGTGTGTCAGCATTCAGCCCATCGGCGGCTGCAGTGTTTTCTTTCGCTGCCGATGGTAAGCTCACATCAGACGCCACTGTGTTTTTGCGTCCTTCAGCTCCTTCGTCAGAGGCAATGCGAGTCTTTGGAGGCGCGTCAGCAACCGAAGGAGCTAAGGCTACGCATTTGTTGTTCTCTACTTCGATGTCAATAATTGCTTCCTGCATCGGCTCTCCCCCGCCACCATCAGCCAATACCTGGC